AAGATCCCAGTTTCGGCGGCCTTGAAACTCATTGACCCCCCAGGGTGCTTGTTGAGGTTGCTTTGAATCTTCCTGGAACCCAAAGACCCCATAGTTATATGCCCGATCCGTTTCTCATGCGGCACCCCCGCTTCGTCAAGCCATTGCGTCATGTCGGCCGAACGCCTCCTGCACCCATTCTCCAGCCGAGCTTCCAGGGCCCCAATGCAATTCCAAGGGTCCGCCGCCAAACGCGCCAGAAGCAAGCAGAAACATATTTCTGGATGGGGCCGTAGTACAGGGTGTGGAGGCTATCTATTGCAAGTGGCCGACTGGGGGGAAGTCATCAGGACCTCGCTGTCGAACAACGGGCACCTCGAATAGGCCGTCGGAACTCGCCCCCCCTTCCCCCCAGGACGATTCCAGGCAAGGAAAATAGGTGGACCCAGTTCTGAGGGCCAGGGGGAATGAACGAAAGCCAGACGGGGTTGGGGGAGCGAAGGGAAAGGAGCGAGCGGAGAAGGGAAGAGAAGGAGGAGGAGGAGAGGAGGAAGAGGAGGAGGATGAGGAACATCCCGTCGCCATTTTGGTTCGAGCTCTCGACGAGATTCAGCCGAAGGGAATGCCCGCGGGGCCGTTAGCCCCTACGTCCAACGCATCAGACAATAGCTAGGAAACGGGTCAGAAGGGGGGGGCGACAACGTTAACTAATTGTGGCTGACCTGCCCGTGGACAATCGGGTCTATCGCCACGGGCCGTGAGCTCGCATCTCTTCTCGTTCGCCAGAATATGATGTCAAGCGGCAGTGGCAACTTGGAAAGCATAGCTAGATCCAACAGCGCGGGTGAAGGCTCAAGCCTGTCCCCTTGGTGGATAGACGCACCATTGACCACGGCATCCTGAAGCATCGTGGGCCCTCGGAAAGTACCACTGGCAGTCCACCCAATGTTCTGTAACACGAGATCTCGATCATCTTTGTTCCGAAGTTTCACGTGGAACTCACGCTTGGCACACGGCTCTTCGTACTCATCGCGTGTTCGGAGGGGCAACATCAGGCTATCATCACACGTGAAACATTGATTCATTGTGTGCAGCTCGCTTTTCATCAAACTACAGAACTGGCACGGGTTGTACGAGCTATTCCAGGCGCTCAGCCCGAGCGATTCACTGTGTTCAGCCCAATCTTCCTTAATCCATAGTAGCACCGACTTCCTGTGAAGGCGACGTCCGTCGCCAAGAGGACCACCCTCCCCCCGCTCGGCGCCGTCGTGCTTGCGGTCGGGGTATCGACCGTCCACGAGCGCCGCAAACATCCAGCGCCTGAGAAAAAAACAGAAGGGCGTGGACCAGATCTCTACATTTCACCCCGAAAGGAATGCATCGTAGCACAACCTCGCATTCGATCTGAAATGTGATCCCCCCCCCCCCCCCCCCCCCCCCCCGACCGCAAACGCGACGGCGAGTGCGAAGCCTCCGATCGGCTCCGTTGCAATTCAAACGCCCACCAGCAACTGCAACCGCTAGGGCGCGCGCAGAGCCCACAACACTGGGTGCAATGTGCACCGGAACTTGAATCCACAGCGGCACCCGTCTCGAAGCTTAAGACTGCCCAACATATGTCTCTTGGCCGCGACCAAGTTAATAGCCCAGAATCCCAAGACAGTATCTTGACGCCCAGACGCCCCACTTTGATAACATATGCCATCAAGATAGAATCCGACAGGCAGGGGTTTCAGACCGTCGGCCTCCTGGGCCTGTTGAACTAGCGGGTGGTTATTGTAGGCGGGCGTGTCTACTGCGCATTGTGGTCGGGCATCATCCGGGCCGTCGAGCATTTGCAATATGGACGGGTTTTCGACGAGCTCGGACTGGATCGACTCGAACGCTGCTCGGAAAGGGATCGCCATGGGAGCTCTGCGGGCCCCGCCGTTCCAGTTCCCAGGGGTCTTGATGGTGTAGAGGGGCCCTGTCTCTGGCAGCACGCGATCAAGCGCCTGCTGATACTTCCCTGACTGCAACGTGGGACTCGAAGCATACATCGAGAACGATCCACCTGGCGTGCCTGCTGTGTCCAAATGCCAGCAGATAATCGAGAAGTCTTTTGCTGTGATCTTGCATGAAGCGTACAGCCCAACGAGAAGCTCGAGAGCTTCTGTCCCGTGCTCACGCGCATCCTGTTGGGATGCGCCCCAGCTTCTTCCATGGCCCCTGCTCCTAGAACGCCGCGTCTTAGACGATCGACGCACTGGATGGCCGAGCGCAGAGCGCCAGGTATCGGGGAATGGGCGGGGACTGCTTTCAGCCAGGGACAGCTATTGCACCGAGAGGGTGGGGGGAGGCCGTCGACGAGATGCGTGGGACAAGTGTCGTTCGATGACACTCGCTTGGCCCATGCGTGCTCTGGTTAGGTGGCTCCTGGACGCCTGTCCTGTTTCGCAAACTGACCCCCCATCAGAAAAATCATCACGCGTTAGAGCCTAAGTCCGTCTGGGCACATCGCACGCCAATGCTGAGCATTGAAAAGGATTCAAAGCGGCTTGCCAGCCTCGCCGACAACGGTAAACAGAAATGCAAAGCCAGGAGGTGGAGCATGAGATCAGGATGAGACTCCGGAGCGGATACGAACACGTGAGTAGCGGATAGATGCCACGATATCGGAAACAATCAATAATTTCGAAAGGTCGGAAGAGGATATGGAACACGTCTGGAATATGTGCAAATAGGGCATGTGGTACGGGAGATATGGCGAGACCATGATCATATGTTGCCTTACATTGGCGTTGCCTTGCTGATTGTATGTCTTGCTTGTTAAACTTGCAGGCGTATAGTGGAGAGTGGCTGAGGATGGGGCGAGGCTGTGAAGGCTGCAGCGCCTTCCATGTGCGGGCGACCGTTACTAACTCGTGAGCGCAGCAAGGATAGAATAGAGCGCGCCCCTCAGCCCTGACCTGGCAGCCACGAGACTTGGATTTCCAAAAGACTACTGGAAATTCGTTGAATGGGTGCGTCGTCCACACATGTTGGCTGTTCAGCGCGCTCGCTCCGAGAAGAAAAGATGCACCGTGAACTACCACGAGAAACTCTGCTACTGCGAGCTGCGTCTCGAGCAGGAGATACTGAATCCGCAGCGCTCGACACAGCTGGCAGCTTGAATATCAAGCAATCGAAGCGCAGACGTGCGCCAGCAAAGAGACTTGCCCAGCAAAGCCTCAAATATTGTCCAACCTGTGATTGATACCTATCAGACCACACCGAATATCACACGGAAAACCAAACATTTGAGAATATCACACGGATCCATCAGATTTTTGCCGGTCACCGGCGCCCGCAAACCTTCAGCGGACCTTCGACGGACCTTCAACGGACCTTCAACGCTCATATCGAGAGGTTTCAACGATCCTTCAATGGGCGTTTCGCCTGATACATCATCACAAAACCGATGGTTTCAATGGGCCTTCAGCGCAACTTTCAACGCGCCAGGTTTCAACGGAGTTTCAACGCTAGGTCGGGGGCGGTTTCTGTGATATTTTTGAGAAAAAGCATGAAACAAATGTATCTGATATAATTTCTCGAAGATTCGGAGATCGGATCTCCGCGCGCGGCCTGGAAAAATCGGTTTGGCCTCAGACGCACGCCGACTTGGACGATGTCCCGAGCGCCGAGAGGCTGCGCAAGCTGAAGCAGGCGCACAAATTTACTCCTCACGAGCCTGCTTCTCCCCGTGCAGAATGAGGTTATGCTGCGCCAGCTCATCCACGACAGCCTTCAGAGCGACGGCAGACTTCAGGAGCGAGCGGAGCGCCTACTCGTCCATCCCCTTCTTGACCTCCGCGATCGGCTTCGACGCCAAGTCGCTGAGCCCCGGGGTCGCGCGCACCTTCGCCTCGAGGTTGTCCAGCGCCTGCTAGAAATAGAAAACTTCTTCTTTCTCCCTCCCCTCCTCGATCGTCATCCTCCATTTCTCCCTCCTCTTCTGTCTCCTCATCCTCTCCCCCCCCCCCCCCCTTCATTCCTCCGCCGCCGGGAGGAGGAGGGGGGGGAAGAGTACGAAGAGGAGGGGGGGGGAGGAGAAGAAGAGGAGGAGGAGGAGGAGGAGGAAAGAGAGGAGGAGGAGGGAGAGGAGGAGAAGGGGGAGGAGGGGGGGGAGGATGGAGCCTCCCCTCAGGGGCCCAGAATCGATTTTTTTTGGGGGGAGGGGGGGGCGGCGGGATGGTGGAGGTAAGTTTTTGATATGCTATGGCCTCCTGCATCGGCTTCCAGCGGTTCGGCTCGTTCTTCCAGAGGCTCCACGACGGGCCCTTGTCGATGCTGCTCCTGCTCGTGTGGGTCTGGCAGGTCACCAAGCTGTACTTCGCAAGGATGGCCTTCGCGTCCTTGGTGAGTTGTTGTGCGTCAGAAGCGCCGCCAGCAGCACGCGCAGGATCATCTGCACCACGTCCGCGCTTGCCGCCTCTGGAGCTCCGGCCTCCTGCTGCCGCTCCTGCTTCGGCTGGCTGCTCCTGTCCCTCTTGGTTGCCCTTGCTCTTCTTCTTTGGCGGCTGGGGCTCTCCCTTGCCATCTCCTGCCGCGCCATCTCCTGCCGCAGCTGTCTGCCCCTCAGCCCTCCTCTTGTTGGCCTCCTGAGGCGTTGCTGCCGTTCCAGCAGGCGGCAACGCGGCGGGGCCCCCCGCCGTCGTCTGCGTCTCATCCTCGCGGGCCTTCGTCGTCAACCACTGCTGCGTGACCTTCCACTCCTCCTCGAACTCTTCCTTGAACTCTTCGACGGTGTACATGGCCCGCAAGCTCTCGGTCCACCCGTCGAATGTAATACATGGCGGCCCCATCGCCATACATTTTGTGAACAACCGAACCGCGTTCATCCACCCTGATTTGCCCCCCCCCCCCCCCCCTTCTTTCCAGGCAATCCTGCCGAGGGGGAGCATCTGTCCTCTCTTCTTCCAGCCCCTCTTCACGGTCGTCGTCTTCGTCCGACTCTCCTGGTATGTATCATATTCCTCAGAGAGCCACTGTGTCCTGAACGCCTTCTGCTTGTCCCAGAGCGCCTTGCCCCTGAGCCCGACACCGCGCTTCTTGAAGTCCTCCTGGAAAGATTCGCTGCCCTTGAGCGCCCGTTGCCAGCGCCCCGCAGCTGGGTTGCCAGCATCCCCGTGGGTCTTGAACTCGAACTTCACCGCCTTCGCGGCCTCCCAGAAGTCCTGCTCCTTCTGATCCTTCTCGCTGAGGCCCTCCTTTTTTCTGGAACCTCCTCGTCAGTCACCGCCCTGCCCCAAGTGCGCATCTGCGCGACAGGGTCGCTCTTGCACAAGCTGGCAAGGTTCTCGAGGATCTGCATCTCGCCGGGCGCCTCCTGGCTAGCGACGAAAGCCTCGATGTTCTTGGCAGATGCGAAGTAGGACTCGACTGTCGACCTGTCTGCGAGGAACGGCAAAAGAGAGGGAGAGAGAGAACGGAGGAGGGGGAGGGATGAGGGGATGAGGATGGATTGACGGAGGGTGGAAGGAGGGCGAGGGTGGAGATGGGGAGAAGTGCTAGGAGGGGGAGATCTCTAAAGGAAGACGGCAGTAGGAAGGAGGGTAGGACAGTGTATATATATAGAACCACATCATCAGAGAAAGCAAAAGGTACCAGGGGGAGGGTAGGGGAAGGGCCCAACTTTCCTGCCCTCTCGGGGCTAGTGGATTCGTTCAACCCCTCCCATGACCTCTTGGATGCTTTCGGCGGCGTCTGCAGCAGCGACTCCTGGCTGAAGATGGGCATGGAGCCGACCGCAGGGGGGGCCGCCGTCTGCGCTGCCGCCGAGCTCGCGCTGCCGCTGCCCTGGGTTGGAGGCTGTCCAGCTGCCGCATCCCCGCTGCCGCCGACTGCCGCGCCAGCGCTGCCGTTGCTGCTGCTGCGTGGCCTTTCGGCTCTCGGAGCGGGGGCGCACTCGAATGAATCTGGTACCGTCTGCGTGTCTGCGTCGGGGTCGGCCTGGGCGGTGACGCCCACGTGGACGAGCGGCTTCACCATCTCAGTGTCCTACTGGCATGCGAGCGTTGCGACGCATGCAGGCATCGACAAAGCATCACTGCACCTTCAACGCTCACGTTGAAGGTGCAGTGACGCATCGTTGAAGCATACATGCCTCTGTATCGCTCATGGGGCCAGTAGCCCCATCAGCAACCGTACATGCGTTCGGTTGAGCTTTTAAGCCCGATGTCCTCGTGCGGCGGCCCGAACTCCATGTACGGGGTCTCTGCCTCGTCCACGGGCTGTGCTGGCACCTCCGGCTGCGAGCGCTCCTCTCCTGCTGCTGCCTCCTGCCGCGGGCGTTCTGCTGGCGCCTGCTCTGGCTCCCCTTCTGCTGGCGCCTCCTCCTCCTCCTCCTTCAGTTCTGCTGGCGACGGCTCCGGCTTCGTCGGCTCCCGCTCCTGTTCTGCTGGCGGCGCTGGCTCCGCTGGTGGCGAGTCCCCCGCGTTGATCGGTGCCTGCTGCGATCCAGGCGTCGGCGACCGCTGCTCGTGCATCAGGACGGCCCGAGCGGCGGAGGCGCCTAGCTCATGCCATGGTGGCATCTGATCCCCACGCTCCTCGATCGAGGTCCGCTGCGACTCCTGGCAAGTTGCTCAACAAACAAACGCCCCTCTCAACCACTTCTACTTCTCGTCTTTCTCGACTTCCTCAGATCCTCCCCCTCTCATTCCTCCTCCTTCTCCTCCTCCCCCTCCTCCTCCTCCTCCTCCTCCTCCTCTTCCTCCTCCTCCTCCTCTCCCTGCTTATCCTCGTCCTCGTCTTCCCTTTCCTCCACCTACCTCCGCCCCCTTTCCCTCGTTGTCCTCGAGCCTCACCCTCCACCACCTCAATCTTTCCTCCTACCCAAGCAGCTTTCTTTGAATGGGCTTGGTCCTCGTGGTCTACCTCGCACCGTTCCAGCTCCGCGAGCATCGACTCGGAGAGCTCTTCGGGCCACGCCTCCTCAAGAAAGACCCGCTGGCCAACCGACGGCGCCTTGGGTGGTGAACAACTCTCCAATATCGCTCCCTCTTTGTCGGTATCTCGCTTGCCCTCTCTCTCTCTCTCTCTCTTTCTCTCTCTCTGTCTCTCTCTTTCTCTCTCTTTCTCTCTCTCAGTCTCGGCTCGAGAGTGCCCAGCACTCAGACCGCAGCCGCGACGCGAAGCGCCCCGCCTCGGAGTCAGTCTCCCAGGCCTCGCGAGACCGGAGGGGTCCCCCCAGGACCCTACTGATTCGCGTCACCTCTCCTCAGTGCGACCGCCGCCATGGCCCCCCTGTCTGCGCCAGGCCGCCACCGCACCTTCACGTCTCACCATGCTGTACTACCTGAGCTACCTGGCCATGTTACTGTACACAGGCACCAGGACCTTGTCTTCCGCGTGCCCGTCCTGCACGGGCGCGACCTCCCAGTACCACCTGGACACGCCCCACACGTGCCGCGTGCGGATCTTCACGAAGATCTACGTATACTTGGGCATGACGTGTTTCACCTGCGCGCCGAGCTGCGCGCCTACCGCGCCGACCTCCGCGCTCACTTACCAGGCACCGACGCCAACACCGACGACTCCGTCCAGCACCTGCACACCTCGGTACGGCCAGGTATCCAGGGGGGGGTCGGGCTCCCGACTGCTGAGGGTGACGGTGCTGAGTGCGGTCGGGCTGTTCCCACGCCTGCCGTCGTCGCGCCGTGCGTGACAAGCAGTCGGCCCCCAACCTCCCCCCGAGAGCGCTCCCGCGGCAACGTAGGCACCGCTCTCATCTTCATCGGCATTATCTTGCTGAACTTCGGGTACGGCCTTGGCTCCACCTTCGGCATCGTCCTCGGCACCGTCGGTCCGCAGACAGCATCGACGCCAGCTCTGACGACGGCACTGCAGTCAGCATCGACGCCAGCGAGTGGTACGGATTCGGCACCACCCTCGCCTCCTCCCTCACCCCGCCCCGCAGGAGGAGGAGGAGACGATGACGACCACGACGACCTTGACGACTCATTACCGGCGCCGGCGCCGAGGTCAGCACCGACGCTCCTACCGAAGGCAGTCGCCGATCTATCGATGATGCATGCATATACGACCACAGTCTCGCTGACCCCGACGGCAGCATTGACGGCGGCGAGGACGGCTCCGACGGCAGCACCGCTAGCATCACAGACTCCGACGGACGTCAGTACCACAATCAGCCACTCCTGCGCTACCTGTATTGCCACTCGCTCGGCGGCGCCTTCAGGCCCGCCGAAGTCTGGTGACCTACAGACCTCTCCTCGGCATCATCGTCTCTCAGAGTTGCAGCCAGCTTCGACGCCAGCTCCGACGTCCGTATCGAGGCCAGCACCGACGCCAGCCCCTACGACAACACCGCCAGCGACGGATTCGGCACCACCCTCGCCTCCTCCCTCACCCCGCCCCGCAGGAGGAGGAGGAGACGATGACGACCACGACGACCTTGACGACTCATTACCGGCGCCGGCGCCGAGGTCAGCACCGACGCTCCTACCGAAGGCAGTCGCCGATCTATCGATGATGCATGCATATACGACCACAGTCTCGCTGACCCCGACGGCAGCATTGACGGCGGCGAGGACGGCTCCGACGGCAGCACCGCTAGCATCACAGACTCCGACGGACGTCAGTACCACAATCAGCCACTCCTGCGCTACCTGTATTGCCACTCGCTCGGCGGCGCCTTCAGGCCCGCCGAAGTCTGGTGACCTACAGACCTCTCCTCGGCATCATCGTCTCTCAGAGTTGCAGCCAGCTTCGACGCCAGCTCCGACGTCCGTATCGAGGCCAGCACCGACGCCAGCCCCTACGACAACACCGCCAGCGTCAACACCCATGCCTGCGCCTACGCCGTTACCTACGCCAGAGTTGCAGGCCGCATCGACGCCAGCTCCGGCGTCTCCAGCGAAACCAGCACCGATGACAGCTCCTATGCCAGCACCGCCAGCGGCACCAACCACTATTATTTATCCCACCCCGCCGACGACCCTGGGTGTCCCTAGGCTAGCACCGCCGACCACCGCATCCATTGAGGCGCCCACGTCCACATCAACGACAGCACCGACGGCAGCATCGAGGCCAGCCTCGATGAGTCTTCAGCCAGTCACTGCTCTGACGCCTCGTCCATGGCCGCGGGCGGGAGTGCAGCCTTCAGGCGCACTCTCCGCTAGCGGGGCCGCCATGTCATGTCATGCCACGTCCGCCTCGTCGCCCGTATCGTCTGTGTCACTATCTGCGCCGACGACCACATCGACGCCACCACGGACGGCAGCTGGGACGTCCGCATCGGCAGCGACAGTTTTCGGGCGACCGCCTTCGACGTCAGCAGTGGCAGACTCGCCGGCGGCGGCACCAACGTTGCCACCCACGGTGGCACCTACGGCAGTCCCCCAAACGGCCTTCACAGCGGTATCCACGATAGCACTCATGACTACATCCACGGTGGCATACACGGCCATGGCTCCCGTGCCCACGTCCGCACCGACGCCAGCATTGACGACAGGATCGGCCTCAGTATCGTCGGCACCGACAGCGGCATTGACGACGAGATCGACACCATCAGGCACACCCACGGCTATTGGGGCCGCCGTACCACGCCGTATCATGCCCGCCACGCTGTCACCTACGGCCCCACCGACCCAAACAGCGACGTCAGCACCGACGACCGCATCGACGCCAGCCTCGGCGAGCCCTCAACCATTCACTGTCCTGACGCCTCGCTTAGGGCCGCTGGCGCGGGTGCCGTCTTCAGGCGCACCCTACGCTAGTGGGACCGCCATGTCATGTCAGGACACGCCTGCCTCGTCGATTTTTTCGTCTGCGGCACTGTCTGCATCGACGAAAACATCGACGACTACGCCGGTACCCACGCCAGTGTTGCAGCCAGCATCCACGCCAACTCCGCCGTCTGCATCGGCGCTCGCATCCATGGCAGCATCGCCCATAGCTTTGACACCAACACTGCCAGCGGCAGCTCCCACGCCCACGCCTACGCGGGCACCAACGTTGACACCAGCACCAACACCGGCACCGAGCGCAGCCGAGACGTCATCGCCGACGATTACTCTCATGCCAACCCTGCCAGATTCAGCACGCCCTGAGTCGTCCGCGGCGGCGCCAAAGGTGGCACCCACGTCGGCCTACACGGCAGCGTTCGTGGAGCGTGTGTGGTTGGAGGTCATCGAGTGGTACAACGTGGTGTCATTGTCCACGTGGGCCACCTTGTGCGCCACGTACGGCATGTACTACTTCTCCATCGGCATCCGCGACGAGTGGCGGCGACGGAGCGCAGCTACAGCGCGGCGCCGACGCCGACAGTGCGGCGGCGACGTCGACCGCAGACGCCCTCTAGGCCACCAGACGGCCGCCCAGGGCCGCCCTGGCATCAGCCCCTACACTGCCTCGAGCCTCGAGCCGA